ATCAGGACAACAGGAAGCAGCAGGTCAACAGGAAGTAGCAGGTCAACAGGAAGCAGCAGGTCAACAGGAAGCAGCAGGTCAACAGGAAGCAACAGGTCAACAGGAAGCGGCAGGTCAACAGGAAGCAGCAGGTCAACAGGAAGCAGCAGGTCAACAGGAAGCAGCAGGTCAACAGGAAGCAGCAGGTCAGCAGGAAGCAGCAGGTCAGCAGGAAGCCGTAGGCCAACAGGAAGCAGCAGGTCAACAGGAAGCAGCAGGTCAGCAGGAAGCAGCAGGTCAACAGGAAGCGGCAGGTCAACAGGAAGCAGCAGGTCAACAGGAAGCAGCAGGTCAACAGGAAACAGGAAGCAGAGCTCCTACTAACCCTCTTCATCACCTTTACCTGCCGCTGAACTTGCTCCTTACGGCTGAAAGGTCGACTCTCTTTTTGTTGATGCTGACGGACTCGGTCAGGCCGTCCACCGAGTCGTAGTCTGCAGAGAGGTCGGCTTCACCGACCGCTCCGTGTCCTCCGTCCACCTTGCCGCTGCCGCTGGTCTCCACCCACGTCTTGAAGTCCTCCACCAGGACCTCCTCCTCTAACTCTGTCAGGAGGCAGAGAGTCTCTACGTCACATGATTCTGCAGCTGCTGAGCTACAGGTGACTCACCTGGGGAGAAGTCCTGGTCCCCCAGCAGCTCCGGCAGTGTGACATTCATGGCCTTGTATGTGGGGAACTGGAAGATGGCTCCCTTTCTGACCCGAACCAGAGTCAGAACCTCCATCTTTCTGTTCAGGTTGCAGTTGGAGATCAGATCGTCCTGAGCGCCGGTGTTCCTCACCAGAGCTTTGGTTTCAGCCGCAAACATCGTCTGGGGAGACAGAACATCCACAGGGACAGAACGTCCACAGGGACATCAACACAGCGCTCTGTCCTCCCACTGGAGGTCAGGATTCTATCAGGACCCAGACCAGTTGGAGCTGTACTTGTTCCCAGTCAGTTACTGGGACCATGTAGAGGAACTGGGTCTGAATCTCTGAGTTTAACGGTAATCTGAGCCGGATTATCATCATCAGAGATTATAGATTATAATCCTCCTGAAGGTTTTATTTTAATATTCGTCTCTATGGGATGATGATGTCATTCTGAACTTCTGAGGCTTCAAATGCCTCCATCATCATCATCATCATCATCATCATCATCATCATCAGCTCCTCCTGAACAGGACGAACTGCTGACTCGTTCTGGATCATCTGAACCTGAATCCTCCGTCTCCATAGCAACCGATCAAACTGGTCTTTCCTTCAGAAGTTCATCAACTGCCCAGAAAACATTTCAGAATAAAACCTGGTGCAGTTCATCCAGGAACACTGTTCATGTTTCACTGTCATCATGAAGCGTCTGCAGCTGCAGTTTCTCTAAAAATTCAATTCTAGAAATTTCATTAGATAGATCTAATGGGGTCTCACCTGAAGGAGAAAGCTTCAGCCTTACCTCAGAGGTTCAGCAGCAGAAAGACGTTCAGTTCAAGTTGTGACCTGTTGCTTCTCTCAGGGTCTGCAGCTTCAGCTGGGAGGATCTTTATACTGCAGACCAGAGGCGGATCCAGTTCAGAGGCGGATCCAGTTCAGAGGCGGATCCAGTTCAGAGGCGGATCCAGTTCAGATCATTCCCCGGGCAACCAACACCACACCCTTCTTCTTCTTCAGCAGATAAAGGTGGTGAACTGTGAGGATAAAATTGATCTACAGAAAGGATCTGGTTGTAATCTGTGTCCTGATGACCCAGGTCAAAGGTCAGCTAATATCTCTGCAGATCCCACACATCCTGGACACAAACTGACTCATTTTAGGGGTTTTGTGGCTTTGCCAGGTTTTCTTCATTCAGGTTTTATTCACTTTATGCATTCAAGATGTTCTACTGCAGTATTTATATGAATTACTAAACTAACAGCTTCAGATTCATTTCTCAGTGACTCAGTGACTCAGTGAACCCATCCACAGTTCACGAGTGGACGGGTCAGAACCTCCTGCTGCTAAATGTAGAAAACAGAAGTCAGAAATTAAGGATGTGGAAACAAGCCTGAGCAAGAACCAGAACTGAACCGGATCTGAACCAGAATGGAACCAGAACTGAACCGGATCTGAACCAGAATAGAACCAGAACTGAACCGGATCTGAACCAGAACTGAACTGGATCTGAAGATGCCGGTTTAGTTCTCACCTGATCAGATCTCTGTGATGAACAGTTCTCCATTAGTAACCAATCAGGTAGCAGCAGATCAGTCAAAGTGCTGCTGCCTGAGTCCTGAGCAGCACCAGGAAATGGATCAGAACCAGACTTCCTGTTTGCCATAGAACTGGAGTTAAAGTCCTGCTGATGGTGAGTAAAGCACTGAACGTTCACAAGAGTTGTGTCCAGCAGGGGACACGTCCAGGAGGGGACATGTTCAGGAGGGGACATGTTCAGGAGGGGACATGTCCAGGAGGGGACATGTCCAGGAGTGTTGCTCCTTAAGCTCCGCCTCTTTCTCATCGTGTTTCTTTGCTTTGTGCTGCAGCTGCTCAGGCTGATCTGACATGTTTGGACAGAACCAGCGTCTCCATGTCCTCATTCCTCTCTGAGCTGCAGGACGCTGCCGTCGTTCACTCCGGCTAACCAGAACTTCCCAGGTCCAGTCCTCAGTCCTCAGTCCTGCTCTGCATGTGTTAGATGAGCCTCTATTCCAGAACAGCATGACCTCTTCGGCAGCCATCAAGAACAGCAGGCTGTTAATCACCCAGAGACTCAGTCACCTACAACATGCAGGACAGGAGGCCTGAGGACGGGAACTGAGAGACTCTGGGCCACAGACCGACCAGAACCATCCATCCATGAACTGGTCCTGTTCAGCAGCAAGTCTTTACGATGGCATGAAAACAAAATAAAAGTCATAACACCATCAGTCGCCACCTGATATCCTGATCAGTGACATCATCAGGATCATCGTTACATTTTAATATATTGATCAGCGTTTCATTGATTATTGGTCCTGAAGCAGAGCTAGCCAGTTAGCCTCAAAGGAGCTCAGGGTTTCAGATGATCCTCAGTTTTCTGGAAGTTTGTTCTAGATCTGTGGAGCACAGAAGCTGGTTCTCCATGTTTGGTTCTGGTTCTGGATTTAGACCAGAACCAGAACCAGAACCAGAGCGTTGATCCAGCAGCGGCTCTTCAACCCGTTCAGCAGCATTCTCACTCTGCTCTCTGATTGGCTCCTGCTTCCTGCTGGACTCCAGCTTCACTTCCTGTCTCTGTCCGTTGACTTCCTGTCAGTTCACCATCAAGTAAAGAGACAAAAAACTTCTTCATCATCTTCATCATGAATCAATAAACCCAAACCAGGTTCATCACCATGGCAACCAAACAACAACACACTCCAGCTTCCTCTGCTGGTTTCACTTCCTGACCTGAATACGATTCATCAGTAAGACCAGAACCCGGTCCTGGTCCCGGTCCTGGTCCCGGTGAGGAATGTTCCTGGAGGTTCTGCTTCATAACATCTGCAGGTTTCAGCAGATTCTTGTTACATAACCAGGAAGCTTCAGGGCATTTAAACAGTTTCATAAGAGCAGCAAGTCTGAACAGAACCTGAACAGAACCTGAACAGAACCTGAACAGAACCTGATCATCTCTGTGAATCAACAATTCGCTTCAGGATCCTGAAAAACCTCTAGAACATTCAGGAGGTTCTGACCCAAACGGGTCCAGCTGGGTTCCGGTTCGGTTTAGTGAAGCTGAAAACTAAAACTCTCGGCATCGTTTCACATTCATCTGCTCTGATTTTACTAAACTCTAATAAATAATTCACTTTATGATCATAAATCCTCCTCAGTATTTCATAAACCTTCATTTGTTCATCAGGAACCTGGAAACTCCAGTTATAAGTTTTTAATGCTTCGTGTTTCCTGCCAGCAGGGGGCGCTGCAGAGCTGTGTAATAAATCAAACTGAGATGAATTAATATGAAAATGAAATGTATTTATTATTAATTAGGTTACATCGATCTAACTCTGCTTCAGATTCAGTATGTTTAGTACTGTATTTATTTATTTGATTGATTGATTATTGAATTTAAATCAGTTTTTAGACTGCAGCTGTTTCCTCAGACAGCCTGTGGGGGGCGCCACAGATGAGGGTGATGGAGTGGAGTGCTTCCAGAAGCTGCTCAGCTAGAAGAAAACCGACTTTAGATTAGAAAATATTTTACTGTTATTATTCAGAAAGTATCTGGAATTTTCTGTTAGATTTAATATAACATTAAATCATTTTTCTCTCCATTAAATCATTTAATTATCTATAAATTTCTGTCTCATTGCCTCATTTTTTGGCGAAATACTTTCAGCTGAGCTTGACTCTGTGCTCTGCGTGTTTATTGGCTCAGAGCGCCCCCTGCTGTCTGTGGCAGGAATAAACTGCTGGTTCACATGTTTCTGTTGGGCTGAAGGTCGAAGAAACTTTCACAAAATCCAGTTCTTATCTACACCTGTCTGTGCCCTCAGCCTGAAGGTCAGGCTGAAGGTCAAACTGAAGGTCAGGATGAA